GGTCAGCTCCGGGGCAGGGATCGAACTCACGTTGAAGTCGCTTGATCTTCTTAGTGAAGTGCTTTAACCCGCTGCGCCACCAGGGAGGGCCCAGATTTAACTTTATTTTCCTCTCAAAAGGGACAGCCATTTTACCAGTGCCATCACACACATACACTTTTTCACTGCACCATCTGCAATGCACATCCTTGTGCATATGTTATAATAACAGGTAGCTTTCTTTCCATCTGAGAAGCAGAAAAGGTTAGGATGCATTTTAATATACAAATGTGATAACTTAACAATTGTTTAAATAATTTAATAATTTAAAAATATTAACAATTGATTAATTACTGCTGTTCATGTGTTCACTTGAACTGTTCCTGCAACTCTTCTGTAAGTTTAATTTTTTCAAAATAAATAATTTGGGAGAGATAAAAATGATAAATCATCTAGATTTAAAGTATAAATGGCAGGACAGGTCCCCAAAAAGCCATACATTGATAGTTATTTCAACAGGGTGATGTGCTCATAGGAGTTCATGTACCACTCTCTCTCTCTTTTGTAGATGTTTAAATACAGAAGAGGTCCACATTTTTAAAAACTGAAGTATGGGCCCTCCCTGGTGGCACAGCGGGTTAGGATGCAGCACTACAAGCTGGCCGAAGTCACTCCAAAGCAAATTTGATCCCAGCCCCCAGAGGTGATCCACATGGCGTGGTAGACCTCTCCTGACCTGCCCGCTGCTCCCTTCAACAGTGTACTTCATCAATCTGCCTGTTCTGCTCCCCACTCTGTTTCTGGTGAAGGCTCTCACCACCCCTGCACCTCTGGCCTGCACCCCAGTTCTGTATGCATAAATAAATGAATTAAAAAAAAAACTTTAGTATTTAATTGGGAATCCTTCATTTGTGTAGCAACATGATGACATACTACTGTATTAAAAGCTCCTAGCCAACCACTCAGCTGGATTTTTCCTTTGATTCGATTCCTCTTAGGTCTCAGGCTCAGTCATTTATGGCTGCAACAAATATTTACTGGGGTTTGTACATAGGCCAGGCATTGTCCTAGGGGCTTGGAAGACATCAGTGAGCAAAACAAAGATCCCTGTGTTCCTGAATCTTACTGCAGTAGTCCCCTTTCATTTACAGGAAATACAACGCAAGACCCCCAGTGGATGCCTGAAACCACAGATAGCACCAGTAAGAGATTAAAATGCTCCTAATACAACTCTCCTGTACTGCCGGTAGGAATGCAAACTAGTACAACCAGTATGGAAAACTGTTTGGAGGTTACTCAAACTGCCTACGACCCAGCAATCCCACTCCTAGGTATCTACCCAAAAGACACAAAAACACTGATTGAAAAAGATACCTGCACCCCCATGTTTATTGCTGCTTTATTTACAATTGGAAAAACATGGAAGCAGCCCAAATGCCCAAAAGTAGATGACTGGATAAAAAAGATGTGGTACATATACACAATGGAATATTACTCAGCAACCAAAAAAAGAGAAACACATGTCTTTTGCAGCAACTTGGATGAAGCTGGAAAAGATCAAGCTTAGTGAAATAAGCCAGAAAGAAAAGGAAAAATACCGGATGGTTTCACTCATAGCAGGAGTATAATGGACCAGGCAAGAAAATAACAAGAATAATGAACAGCCATATACCAGAGACATTCTGTGGGGGTGGAGTGGGGAATGGGATCAAAAATGGGGAGGGGGGAGAGGAGGGAAGTGCACGGGATTATGGTGATGGCACAAGGGTGACTTGGTGATGGGAAACCCGTGGGGATTACATTTGAGATAGAAAAAAAAATGTACAAAATGATGTAAAAATAAACTGTTATAAAAAAAAAAATGCTCCTAATACAGTGGAACAATCAGGTCCTCTCTTGTGGCGCAATGGGTTAAAGCACAGCACTATGAAGCTGTCCAAAGCCACTGCAGCATGACTTCAAATTCCAGCCAGGGAGCCGACCCACATGGTGCAGAAGACCTCTCATGTCTCACCTGCTGCTCCCCTCAGCAGTGTATCTCAGTCAATTCACCTGTTCTGTTCCCCACTCTGTCTCTGGTGAATCACCCCCAGCCTCTCTGGCCTGTACCCCAGTTCTTGTATGCATAAATAAATATATCTTAAAAGAAAAAAAACTTAAACTGTCCTGTTCTAATCCATTAGGTTTCATTGTCAACTTTTAGTCAGCAAGGAATTGTGGCAAACAAACCCATTGCTTGCTTAGTTATCACCTTCTTGCTTTTTTCTGTGAGGTTGGGTGGATTCTCTGAAACTTCATATCCCATGTTCTCATGCCCATAAAGATGGATTCACCCCCTATTCCATCCCCTCTCCAACAATTCCAACTCCTAAAACTCTTCTACAGTTCACCCTAAACTTCATGACCCAGCATCAGCAAAAGTTCCTGTATTCCCCAAAATTTCCTTCACAGTCCTTTCCTCTTCCTGCCCTAAAGGACAGTTCAACTAATGGCTGTATTTTCTCCCACCTCATTCCGTCCTGGAGCCTGGACACAGGGTAAAGATCCTGCCATTTCCAGCTCATTCTCATCTTTCCTCCCTGATGATACCACGTTCAGAAGGTCATGTGACAAGATGTCACCACCACTCCTCACAGTAACGGCCACTGACACTCTCCCTACCCCAAAACACACCCCTGACTGAGTTCCTGTTCTAGTGCCTGAATTACTGTCAAGAACTGCTCTGACCTTGATTCTCAGTAATCTCACTATATGTATTGCGGGTCCTTCTAGCACCCAGCCTCTGAGTTCCTTGCCTTCCTCACCTCCATTTATATAGTCCTCTCCTCTGTTTCCATCTTATTTTATCAGTAACCTCATCCTTTTCCTTGGTGCCAAGCATTTCACTCTCCAGCTATCCAGTCACCTCTTTCTGACTCTACATCCTTTTCAATGTACTGACAGCTGCTTCTCTTCAGCCTCCCACGACCACCTGTCTTTCTCCAGCTGGTCACCATGCCTCACTCCCTTGACATCTCACACCTCTTTTGCCTCACTTAAATTCTATGAATTTAATTTGCATATAATCTTAACTCTTCTGCATATAATCTTAACTCTTCTGCCGCTCTCTCCACTCCACTTGGCAAAGCCACAATCCTGGGCTTTTTTTTTTTCTCACTTCCTCTGAGCAGCTGAAAGTGTCTAGAGGGGAAAACATAGCAAAACTGGCTGGTTCCCCTTGAAAATCCAGACCATGAATTTCAAGAGAGCCAGGTGTGGCCCAGCAATCATGATCCCTACTTCATTCACTTGTGCATTCTTCTGGATGAGAACTTAATCACTTCTCTCTACTCAAAATAGCTTCTCTCTCACCCAGATGATGACTTGGCTCTTCCTAAAGTGGCTGATACAACTGAAAGTCTCACACTCCACACCTACACACCTTCCTGCCTATGATCACAGGTAAACGTTCCAGGTCTTTCCCTGAAGCCACGCCCTCTACCTGTGCTGTACATTCCATCCCTGCTATCTCAGGGAGGAGAACTCCAGCTGTCCTCTTTCCCTAAAAAGCACATTTTTTTCCTTTTTATCAGATAATTCTTTTCAGCACTAGACATTTTCTTTCTTTCTCAAATGTTTTCTGTTTTGCTAACTCCCTCTTCAGTCTTCACTCAAGGTCACCTTCTCCAGCAAGCTCTGGCTGACCACCCACTCCCTGCACAGAGTCCTTTACCTCCTCCTGATGTTCTTATGCTTTTTAATCCAGCGCATTTATCATTTTCGAATACAATCTACAGTCTATTTCTTTATTATCCTTAATGGTTTGTTACCCCTGCTGGTATGGTGGATCTCCCTGATCCACAGTTTTGATTTCTGTGGTTCTGTTACCTGTGGTCAACAATGGTCTGAAAATATGTACCAAGAGATGTTTTCAGAGAGAGAGACTGATTCATATGCCTTTTATGACTATACTGTAATCATTATTACTGTCATATACTGTTACAATTATTCTATTTTAGTATTAATTGTTGTCACTGATCTCTTACTGTGCCTAGTTTGTAAATTAAACTTTATCACAAGTATGTCTATATAAGAAAAGACATAGTCTATGTAGAGCTCAGGACTATCTGTGGGGTGGGCATCCACTGGGATTCTTGAGGTATCTCCCCCGAGGATAGGGGAGAACTTCTGTACTGCAAACATGACTTTTATTAAATCTCTGGGTCAATTACAACTCTGTAAAGTAGAACTATGATGTCATATGATGTGAACATCTGAGGAATTCCTCCATTACATATGTTGTGACTTGAGAGAAATACTAGGAAAGATTGTTGTACCCCTGAAGGAATTCTGAAATCAACGCATTATTATTTGAGGTTAAAGAAACTTAGTGTGTCCATAAGCCCCTATGTATGCAAAGTTTACAACAGAAATACAACGAGTCTTTGCTTGTGCTGCTACTTTAAATTTTTCACTTTTCATATTTATTATCCTACTTTACCCTTTCAATTCTGTGAGGTAGTGAGATTGCTAGTATGATAGCTTTGCCTTTTAAAGATATAACACTCAAGACTAAGAGAGCTGAAGTGACTTCTCTAGTTCAAACAGTCACTACCATTCACAATGAAGCTCAAGTCAACTGTTTAAGTAATTCTTGATTCTTGCTTTTTGCTACTGACTTCCATTTGATCCATGAGCCAATTCTATCAGTTCTACCTCTAAAATGCTCTTTAATCAACTTTCTCTTCTCCATGTATCACAACTGTGATAAAATCACAAATGCACAGCTAGCTACGGTCCTGTCCCGACATTGGCAGCCACCTCTAACAGGGTTCTGCTGTTTACTCGCTCTGCCCCTTGCACACTAACACCATCTCTCCACCACCACCTCTCACCTGGAGCACTGCAGCAGCCCCTCCTGAGTCTTGCCCTGCTTCTAGTTTTATCCCCACAATCCATCCCCTTAAGATAACTAGGATCTATGGATGTAGCTAGGCATGTATTTATACTTACTAAATTAGGGTTTTATGCAGGAACTGCCAGAACAGATGCAGAGGGCAGAGGACAGAGGGCAAGGTGTCCATGCAGGGACGTGGCGTCTCCATGTCTTTCCAGGTATGCCAGTCTTCCCATATCTCCATGTGCTCACTAACCTGGAAGCTCCTGGAATGAACTTTTAAAGAAATTGGATTTGAAACAAATGGGGCTAGGGAAATTGACTGTCCACTTGAAAATGGTATTGCTATATAGATTTTACCAAAAAAGAAGGTGGGCCGTCTGCACTCTCCTCTTTAATGACTTCCCTGGCACTTAGTATGGACTTACTTTGCCAACCTCATTTTAGGAAGAGAGGGAGGGAGGAAGGAAAAGTGGGAGGGGAGAAGGGAGGAAGGAAAAGAGAGCAAGGGAGGGAATCAACGCAGAAATTCAAATCTTAGTCTCCTGACTCTCAATGATAAAGTCTGTTTTCTATAATTATCTGCCTCCTACACTTATAAGTCAAACTTATCAGCTAATTAAGACCTTAGTTCAAATATTTTAGCAAATTGCTTTCTTACATGACATCTCATAATGTGATAACTTTTTCAAGAGAAAGCTCCTGAGCACATAGCACTGTGAGAAAAGCAGTCAGGGGCTGTGATCATTCTGAATGAGTCTAGCCAGGGAAATGCTTCAGAAGGGCTATGAGAACTCAGCAAGCTGTAAGAAGAGTATGATGGCTGGGGTGGGGGTGGGGGTGGGGGTGCGCTGCACTCAAGGCAGAGGACAGTTGGGGTAAAGACTAGCTTGGGGTGTGCAGAGGAGTGCCAGGTGGCTGAAGTGATCTGAGCAAACAGGTGGGCTGGAGGGTAAAGGAAGCTGGAGGGGCAGTTGGGAACTCACAGGGAGGAGAAAACTAAAAGCCCCAATAAGGAACTAGACTTGAAGAGAAAAGGAGAGCAAGTCACCATCGCATAGAAATGAAGCTAAGGGGCTCCAACCTCAGGAACTGATGGTGGAGAAAAGGGGAAAGGAGAGTGATTATGGGATCAGGACCCCAACACTGAGTCTCTGGGGCCTTGGGAGAGGAAGAGAAGACAGAAAGAAGGAAAGAAAGGTTGCCTCTTCCTAGCCCACATTCACACAGAGAATTAAGAGTCAGGGAGTAGAGAGAGATGTTGCTAAGTGAGCTACTAAAGGTTTTAGTTTCAACCTGGAATCAAGAGACTTTCATATAAAAAAAGTAGATGGGGGATCTAAAGACTTTCGATACCGGCATCAGTCAGGGGACAGTGTTAGCGACACCCACTCTTCAAGGATAAAACCAAACACAAAAGGCTAATGGAGTGGACCCTCCTTTGGACTGGGTTAAAGTGCTGTGCTAAGCTTTAACAGGTTAAAGCTATCTGCAGCACCAAGTTCAATCCCCAGCAAGGGAGGTGACCCACGTGGCACAGCAGTTCTCTCCTGTCTCACCGGCTGCTCCCCTCAGCAGTGTATTTCAGTACATCTGCCTATTCTGCTCCCCACTCTGTCTCTGATGAATCCTCTCATCCCAAGTGAATCTGGCCTGTACCCCAGTTCTTGTATGCATGAATAAATAAATAAATAAATCTTAAAAAAAAAAAAGCTACGAAGTCCCCAAAACCATTGTAAAGTTGGTCAAAAGTTATACCAGGCACAGCTACCACAGAAACTGCAAAATTAACCTTCGTTATATCCTCGTCCATGTTAGTTTGGTGGTCAGTTTTTCCTTGAACAGTTTTGCAGTAAGATCTGGAAAGTGGATTTGTGGGCTTGTCTTGGGAAGCTGGGAAGGGAAACTGGGTTGACTTTCTCCACTTCCAGGTTCATAGAAGAAACAAACCCAAGGGGGTCGTGATTACAGTTTCACATGAAAAAACACTAACTACTTTCTAAAAAGTGTTTGGCTTGGGTCGACATCGGAGGGTTTAAACTACAACATAATACACACAACCTCAAACTGCCACCAGCCTGATCTGGGCTATCATTTTCCCTTGACCTCCAGTCAATTCTCAGCCTTGAAGGCTGAGGAATCCTTTCTAATTAAAATAGGACTCTGCTTCTGTTCACAGCCCTAGGATAATTCTCCATTGACCTCAGAAGAATAACAAATTCCTGGCATTGCTCTACAAAGTCCTGAATATTTTGGTCCCTATCACATGGCTCTGTCCCTGTTTTCCAGTAAGCTTCCCACACACCAGCCCTCCAGCCGCCAGCACCCTCAGCTGGTCCTCAAATAGACCACCCCAGACATAGATAAATCGTTCATTTCCTTCCAGTCTTTTGTCAGTATTGCCTTCTCCCTGGGCCTCACTGTACTTACTTATTTTTTAAAAGACATGTTTACTTATGCATACAAGAACTGGGGTACAGGCCAGAGATGCAGGGGATGAGAGGATTCACCAGAGACAAGAGTGGGGAGCAGAGCAGGCAGATCAACAAAATACACTACTGAGGGGAGCAGCAGACAAGACAGAAGAGGTCTACTGTGCCCTGTGGGTCAGCTCCCTGGCCAGGGTGTGAACTTACAGCAGTACCTGCAGAGAGCTTCATGGTGTTGCACTTAACCACTGCACCACCAGAGAAGCCCCTGGGTCTCACTTGAAAGTGTAGCTCATAGCACCTCCATCATTTCCAACACCCCCTCCCAGCACTCCTTACTACTCTGTGGTTCTCTTTTATTGCTGTAGTACTTCTCTTTGAACGTAGGATATTTGTCACTTCCTTCACTTTCATTATGATGATGGTAAATGTTTAGTACCTCTCCCCCCTAGAAAGTGAGCTTTAGAAGGTAGGATCTTTGTAGTCTAAGCTTAGAAAAAGTGACTGGCACATGGAAGCTTTCAGTTAGCATTTATGAAAGAATGAATGAATGCCAAGGTATGGATTCGTGGCTTTGTGTGAGCCTGGAAGACCTCCACGAGGAAGTTCTGATCTTGGTCTTGAGTTGTTTTGTTATTTTGGTTGAAGAAATACAAAATATGCTTGCCAGACAGCCCAACTAGGGTTGGGCAAGAATAGAATGCACTGCCTTAGGAAAGTAAGCTCCCTGTCAAGCAGAACTGGAGTAAATATGTGTAGTAGTGCTGTAAGTAGATTTCTAATGACTTCTAACTTGAGATTCCTTCCAACTTTAAAGTTCTTGATAATGGTTGTTATCGCTTCTACTAAGAACCTACAAAGGTTCCAACTGCCTACCTAAGTAACTCACTTTCTTCTTTTTTGCAAGGTCCTGCTTACTTTGACCCCCATTTGATTTTTTTTTTTCCAGCACTGCTGAAAAGCTTTTTTTCATCCCACATAGAGGCCAAGACTATTCTGCTTCAGTGGTTTGATGTTTTAATACCATAAGTTTTGGAGTCAGAAGTGGCAGGGAATTTTGGAACCACCATTTTCTATGTGACTTCTAGTAAGTCACCTGACTTCATTCAGCTTTAGTTTTATCATAAAATTAAGAAAAAGGGGGAGAAGAGGGCTAGGAGGAGGTGGTGACAGACGGTGTTAATAAACAAGTGGTCACCTTTTTCAATTTGGATCTTTTCCCTTCTGTTAGGAACATACTTTTGACTGCCTGATTGCTTTGAAATTGTTTTACCTGTTCCGTTTTGTTTTCATTCCCAGATTGTTAATAGCATCATGGAGTTTGCAGGCAGGCACCAAAAAGTCTGTCCTCTTCCAGCTATAGTGCTTACTCAGAAAATGAGAGAGCTAAGCCAAATAATCTTTTTAGTCAAAAATATTATTTCAATCTGTATTTTGTATCCCTGAGGTGGCTAGCACAGTTTGTTAAGTGACTGACTTCAATAGGATTTCTCTAGTCTCAATTTTCAGTAGCCACAAATGATAACATTTTATAAGTGTCAACTAGTATAATGTACATGGAAGTAATTTTAAAATTGAAGTTGTAATTCTGTCTATTACATACCCTATATATGTATATATGTCACTACAACAATCTATATAGTATATATACATATAAAATATATAAGCATTATGTATCACACACACAATATATACTTCCATGTGGATCTCTCGCCATGGTACAGGTAGAGTAGTAGTAATAAGTCCATTCATGATTTGAGGCAATTCTAATTTAATTATTAGTGTAAGGGTGAGGTTAGGCTTATGTGACACCAGGCCTACCTCATATTCATCCAAAGTGATTCTTTGATTGAGAGGTTTCATATCATTATGAAATAATTATTTATTAGTGTTATAAAACATTACACACAGAATTTATGCTCATGCCAGCTGATGTGGTATGTCCGAAGCTGGTTACAGAGACAGCTAAATCGTCATATTTTATTCTTTTTTTTTTCCTAAAGATTTATTATTCATGCATACAGAACTGGGGTACAGGCCAGAGGCTCAGAGGCAGTGAGAAGATTTACCAGAGAAAGAGTGGGAGCAGAACAGGCAGATCAACAAAGTACACTGCTGAGGGGAGCAGCGGGCAGGTCAAGAGAGGTCTGCTGCGCCATATAGGTCACCTCGAGGCCGGTATCGAACTCATGCGGAAGTGGCTTTAGCTTCTTAGTGCTGTGCTTTAACCCACTGCGCCACCAGGGAGGGCCCATCGTATTTTATTCTAAGAGATCTTAAGCAAGAGCTATTTTGCTCCTGCTGCCTCTTTGCACCTGTAGTCACACTAGGTGACTACCTTCCTCCTTCACACCTGGCAGTTCCCATTCATACTTTAAGATTTAGATCAGGTGTCGGGTGCTTCCCCTCCCCATCACATTACAAAAGGTCTATTTGCCACTCATATTGCCAGTACGTCATATTCAGCAACCAAGAAAAATTGCAAAACTATATACTAAAAGGCAATGACCCCACAACTTGAAGAGACAGAGCAAGTGTGTGAACCAGGAATCTTGGGCTTATTATCCTGGAATTTCAAATAACTATACTTAACATGCTAAGGATTCTAATGAATAAAGTAGATAGCATACAAGAACCGGTGGGCAATGGAAGCAGAGAGACGCTAAGAAAAAATGAAAAAGAAATGCTAGAGTGTAAAAACACAATAAAAGAAATCAAGAATGCCTTGGCTGGGTTTATTAGTAGATTAGACAATGCTAAGGAAAGACTGTCTATGGTTGAGAATATACCAAAAGAACCCTCCAAGACTAAAAAGCAAAGAAAACAAAGAATGGGAAAAAAAAGTTC